GTACTTGCATATCATCAAGACTCTCTACAAGCCCCCTAAGTGCCCGAGGTAGGGAGTGGGCAAGAGGAAGGGATGAGATATCACCAGGGCAGCACAGCTAAAGCAACCAAAGGGTTATTGCACACCATTTGTCATCACACCCAGAACAAAAAATAATTAAAAAAAAAGAAAGACAGAGAAGGTGGAAGGGATGCTGTCATTGAGAAAACATCTATCCTCCCAAACAACCACTACACTTTTGAGGCCTAGCTTCCCAGGACGTGGCTGATAGTGGTGGGGTGGAGTGAATAATCGTTTTCTCTTAGCTTCTGCACATCTTTTCTTGTTTTTCTCTTTCTTTTTCTTTGAATTCCACTGTCATTTTCTCCATATGTGAGAAGACTTTTTTTCCCTATAGTACATTCTCCCACCCTTCTCATCCTTTCATGATGGGGAGTAACAGAGCAGTTTGGTGAAGTTTAGTTTGCCAGCAATGTGTAACCATCAGAGTGGGAAGTGCTCAGAACGGGACGCAGCTAGAACATCTGACCCAAATTGACCAAACAGATATTTCATGCCATATCACATCATGCTCAGCAACAAACCATGGGACAGTTGTTCCAAAGTAGCCATTCTGCAGTGACTGGCCAGGCATTGGTCTGCTGGTGGGAGGTACTGAAACACTGCCTTTGCATCACTTGTCTTTTCTCTTTTTGTCTACCTGTTCCCCTCATAAGCTGTCTTTATTAACAGACTTTTGCTTCACAAGGTGCTGCATGCAGTGAGGCACATTTGAATTGCTTCTACACAAATGCACACAGTATGAGGAATAAAATGGATCAGCTAGAAGTCTTGGCCCAATCCCACACCTATGACATCACCAGCATAAGTGAAACATGGTGTGATGGGTCCTGTGGCTGGTGTGTCGCAATAGATGGTTACAGGCTCTTCAGGAGTGACAGACAGTAGGCAAGGTTGTGTGTGTGGGGGCGGCAATGTACGTGAAGCAGGGGCTGGACTCTGTGGAACTTGAAGTTGGCGATGGCAAAGGTAAGAGCCTCTGGGTAAGGATTAAGGGACAAACAAGTAAAGGGGATGTCGTGGGAGTCTATTACAGGCCACCCAGCCAGGACAACAACACCAGCAAATTATTCTTTGTAGAACTAAAAGATGCCTCAAGATCAACTCCCCTTGTTATTATGGGGGACTTCAACTTGCCAGACATCAACTGGGATTACCACACAGCCAACATGAGCAAATCCAGGAGGTTCCTACAGCACCTAGATGATACCTTCTTGGTGCAGGTGTGAAGGGAGCCAACTAGGAAAGTTGACCTAGGTCTGTTGCTGGAGAACAGAGAGGCTCTTGTGGTGGACATGGCAATTGGTAGCTGTCTTGGCCATAGTGACCATGAAGTGGTTGCGTTTAAAATTTTTGGTGACAGATGGAAATCTGCCACCAAAAATTCAGCCCTGGATATGGGGAAAGCAGGCTGCTCAGGGAACTAGTCAGCAAGGTCCCCTGGGAAATTGCTTTTGAAGGCATTAGCGTCCCTCAATGCTGGTCAGTCTTTAAGCACTGTCTCCTAAAAGCACAGGATCAGGCAATTCCAAAATATCAGAAGTCAAGCAGGTAAGGCAGAAGGCTGGCCTGGCTGACCAGGGATCTTCTACTGGAGCTTAGGCGAAAAAAGAAAATGTACTGACCCTGCTGGAAGCAGGGTCAGGTAACATGGAAGGAATACAGGGACACTGTTCACGTTTGTAGGGAGAAAATTCATATGGCCAAAGCCCAATTAGAGTTGAAGCTGGCCAGGTCTGTGGGAGACAATAAAAAGTTTTTTTTTAGATATGTTAACAGAAAAAGGAGGACCAAAGTAAACATAGGTCCACTACTTGATGTGGAAGGTCACATTACAGACAAGGACATAGGCAAAGCAGAGACGTTTAATGTTTTCTTTGCCTCCATCTTCAACACTGATGATGGGCTTCATGACCTAGGATGCCCTGAGCTGGAGGACCATGACAGTGGGAATGAGAAACTCCCAACAGACCCTGAACATGTGTGGGATTTGCTGCTCCACCTGGATCCATACAAGTCCATGGGTCCAGGTGGGATTCATCCCAGGGTGCTTAAAGAGCTGGCTGACGTCATCACAGAACCTCTCTCAATTATTTTTCAACAGTCTTGGGAATCTGGAGACGTCCCAATAGACTGGAAGCTGGCAGATGTACCACTTTTCAAGAAGGGCAAGAAAGTAGACCCTAATAATTACAGGCCAGTCAGTCTCACGTCAGTGCCTGGTAAAATTATGGAGAAGATTATGCTTGAAGTTATTGAAGTGCACCTGGGGGACAATGCAGTCATTGGTCCCAGCCAGCATGGGTCCATGAGGGGTAGGTCCTGCTTAACAAATCTGATTTCCTTTTATGGTAAGATCACCCATCTAGTTGACCAAGGGAAACCAGCTGATGTGATCTTTTTGGACTTCAGCAAAACTTTTGACACGATTTCCCATAGGATCCTACTGGACAAAATGTCCAGCATCCAGCTAAACAAAAACATCATCCAGTGGGTGAGCAATTGGCTGACGGGCAGGGCTCAAAGGGTTGTGGTAAATGGGGCCACATCAGGCTGGTGGATGGTCACTAGCAGGGTCCCCCAAGGCTCCATTTTAGGGCCAGCCCTCTTCAATGTTTTTATAAATGATTTGGATGTAGGACTAGAAGATATTTTGAGCAAATTTGCCAACGACACCAAACTTGGAGGAGTTGTGGACTCGGGTGAGGGTGGAAAGGCCTTGCAGAGAGATCTGGACAGATTGGAGAGCTGGGTAATCACCAAATGCATGAAGTTTAACAAGAGCAAGTGCTGGGTCCTGCACCTGGGACAGGGCAACCCTGGCTTTACATACAGATTGGGTGACAAGATGCCGGAGAGCAGCCCTGCAGAGAAGGATTTAGTGGTAGTGGTTGACAGCAAGTTGAGTATGAGCCAGCAGCGTGCCCTGGCAGCCAGGAGGGCCAACTGTATCCTGGAGTGCATCAAGCATGGCATTGCTACTCGGTCAACGAAAGTGATTGTCCCGCTCTACTCCGCAGCCTCACCTCGAGTATCAGGTACAATTCTGGGCATCACAGTACAAAAAGGATGTAAAACTGTTGGAGAGTGTCCAGATGAGGGCTACAAAGATGGTGAATAGCCTAGAGGGGAAGATGTATGAGGTCACTTGGCCTGTTCAGCCTAGAAAAGAGGAGGCTGATGGGAGACCTCATCGCGGTCTACAGCTTCTTCATGATGGAGTGTGGAGGGGCAGATGCCGATCTATTCTCCTTAGTCACCAGTGATAGGACCCGCAGGAATGGTGTCAAGCTGAGGCAGGGGAGGTTTAGGCTAGACATCATGGAAGAGGTCCTTCACTAAGAGGGTGGTCGCACACTGGAACAGGCTCCCCAGGGAAGTAGTCACTGCACCAAGCCTGTTAGAGTTTAAGAAGCATTTGGACTGTGCACTTAATCACATGGTCTAAAATTTTGGGTAGACCTGTGTGGTGCCAGGGGTTGGACTCAATGATCCTTATGGGTTCCTTCCAACTCGGGATATTCTATGGGTCTATGATTTATATTGACTGGGAAGTTTTTCCTCATGCTTGGTCTTCCAGTTCTCTCCCATATCCTGCTGAGGCTGAGGTGTGACCAAGTGGGTGGATAGTGCTCAGATGTTTGCTAGGGTCAATCCACCACATGGGTTCATAGGCAGTACTTGTCTTCCTTCCTCTGCTCCTTCCATCTGTTCCAAAGGCTTCCTGCAAAACTTTCTGGAGCAACAGGTGCTGGTTGAGTGTTTCCAAGTGCCATACACGAGCTCCCAAAGCAGTGCTTAGATCACCCAGAGCGCAGTCTCGCACATGCTTTCCTGCCAGCCAGTCCTCATGCCACATCATCTATCTTGCAGCCCTTCTATGGCAGGAGACCAGAAGCTGGCCCAGGAAAAGTTGCTTGGGTAGTATAGCCACTCAAATAGAAGTGACTCCCAGCAGTGTTCCCAGACACCATGGACACCAATTGGACCCTGGCCTTTATGAGCAGAAGCACAGTCAGGAGCTGAAGGGCAGTGAAAATCCCACTCTGCTCAGCACTCCTCCAAATGCATCTAGAACATTGTACCCAGTTTGGAGCTGTGTAGCAAGAAAGACTTTAATCAATCACAGAAAATTCTGTAGTATTGTTGTTAGGAAAGGATTTCCTGGCTCCTAGGGGAAGCTATGCCCTTCACCTTGTCAAGGACTTAGTCATCCCTCCTTCCTTACTTGCTTCATGCCATTGTGCTAATCAGAGGAAAAGACACAGTGTGCACACCAAAATGCATAGAAGTCAATCAGCTGTGTTGGACAATTCCATCCATCTCTCAGTAACTACATATTTAGAATCCAAAGTGTGACCTGATACATAAAGAAGCATTCTGAATGCAAGCCTGTGTTAACGATTGCTAAGCATCAGCAACCACCCACTCCCAGAACTACCCATGAGCAACACGTCTCTCCCCAGGCATCCTGGAAGAGTGGCTGCAGGGGAAGGACAACTCAGAGGCACAGGCTGGGATGCAGAAGAACTTTAATATTAGAGTCAAAAGAGATCACTCCAAGTGGGGTCCCCAGTGCAGGAAGCACTAGGGGCAGACAAGAGCATGCACTGTGTGGCCCTGGCAGGCATACCGCCAGCTGTCCATCTACCCACTCAACTGAAGGAGAAGGACTGGAAGGTCCTCTCTACGATGACGTTATCAGACTCAGAGCCTAGTGTAGCAGCGCCGAGCAAGAAGGACATAAGTGGGAAAGGAGAGAGTAGAGGAGAGGAAAGGCAGAAATGATCTGTGCATTCCAAGAGCCCAGGCTGGACCCATCCCTATGAAAGGGGTGGTAGTTTGGTGCCTCTTAATGCAACAAGCCAATGGTCTGTGCCCAGTCCACCACCAACTTCTAGATTCCCAGGAGGCTTTCTCCAGGACCATCACCAGCAGCTTTAGCAGGGGAGGCACCTTGTGCCACAGTAGCTGCTGCCAAAGCCAGAGAGGCCAAAGCCTCCAGAGGAGATGGGCACTCCCTCAGAGCTGAGGATGCTGCCAACAGCAGCAGAGGTGGAGGATCCCACAGCGGTGTTCTGCGGGAAGGAGCTGAGGATGGGGCCAGGCAGGGTCACCACCACGGGAGAGGGCTGGATGACGACAGTGGAGTCCTGGCACTGCTGGACACAGGGCTCATTGCAGCTGTTGGCCAGCGGGGTCGGGCCACAGGGTCCGCATGGCAGGCATGGCAAGCACTGGTTGTAGCAGGACATGTCTCGGGGCAGGACGTGCACCTGGTGGGAAAGAAGGACAGGAGGAGCATTGCGGTTAGTGAGTAGCATCCTGCAAGACCACCAGAGAAGAGCCATATCTAATTGTGTATTTGGGGAGCTGGCAGCTGTGTAATAAGGCTCACAGCATCCTCCTTCTGTTTCTCCATTTAACAGCCTTGGCTAGAATGTCCAGGCCCAGGAAGATCCCAACTTAGCCCATAGTTTCAGAGACACCACAGAAAAGCCCAATTTCTTTCTATGACACACCTGCTTTAACTCTCCTATGACTAGTGACTCCAAGACCCAACAGAGGATCAAGTCAGAGTTATGTGTTAAGAAACCCACCAGGGTAAGGAGGTGGAGTAAGGCCTTTAGACTCACCTTTTTCCCAGGGAGATGGAGGCGAGAAGACTCGATGAGAGAGGGAGGAGATGAGGCCACTTTTATACGTCTCCTGCACCACCCCAAGCCCACAATCACTCTACATGGGCCATAATTTTCAAGCAGACTCACCTCAAATGCAAAATATCTTAGCTAATGGCACAGGTTGTGTTTTGGTTTCCATCAATTCTGCCATTTCATTTCCTCATTTCTGAGGATATGCAGGCTATTTTCTACTACTGGTATGAGAGACCAAAGGAATGCCCCAGCAGGATCATATCAGTATGGGCAAAAAAGGAGCCTGAGTGCAGGAGTGGTTGCATTCAGTCAGAGGACAGGACATGGCTTTGTGCACTTCAGGGAATGGTTGGTGATGTGTTTTGCAGGAAGAGGGCCTGCTCCTCATGGAGCTGCAATCACAGCAGAGCACCCAAGGTCCTGTTCATTAAGAATGCACCATAAGCTTCTCTCTTGTCCCTCCCTCATTGCTCCATCCAACGGTCACTGGTCTTTGCCTCCCCAGGCATCCAGGCTGTGCCAATGCTTTCAGCTGTCTGCCTTGATGCCATTACCACTTCCACTAACTTGGGAGGAGACAGCAACTGGGGGCCAGCTGGTGCACTCTGGTGCAGGGCTGCCACAAGGGGAAGCCTAGACAGCCTGCTGGGAATGGGCCCTCAGGAACCTCAAGGCAATCTAGAAGGACAAAAGGCAGGTCCTGCACAGGATGGGGAACAAACTCTTGCAGGCACTGCAGACTGGGGACTGAACTACCCTCTGATCCTGCGTCCCCTGGACCTCCTCTGAGTAGGTCTGCCCCCAGAGTAGGGTCAGACATGAAGGGTGGAAGGCAAGGGACACACAAGCCTCACCCTCCTGGCCAAAGAGATGGGGCTGTATGTAGGAGCTCTCCTGAGTGCTTTCTGGAGGGAAAGAAAGGCTTGTAGAAAACATCTTCCCCCTTGATGGGACTCGTCTCTGGGTCCCAGGCAATACGTCTTCTCCTAGCATTAGGGCTTCAGCACACCTCCTCTGCCATGTCCCAAAGCCCTCCTCAGGCAACAGAACAAGCCAGCACCACTGGGGGGACAAGGAAGCTCCCACTCAACAAGCGAGGGCTGGCAGGAATGGGCACTGCCACGCGGCTGGGCATGCTCAGGGAGGGGACTTGCTCACAAGGGCCCTGGCTACAGAAACACCTCCCAGACTCCATCAAGGAGGCAATGCATCCCTGCTGCATGAACAAAGCACTTCCCTGCCCTGCAGACATGGGAGGCAGCTGGGACACACCCCAGGAGGGCAAGGGAATGCCTTCAGCAGGCAAGCTTCCTAGGACAGACTCTCCCTGCCCAGGACGAGTCATGCTCTAATTTGGGATTGGCCACGTGCCACATTTTTGGCATGAAGCCAAGCCAGAGTGCCTGCTGTCTGCAGGCCTGAGCACCACGCATGCCAAATCCTCCTCCATCCAAGCATCTCAAGCTGTGCCATGCTCCAGGCAGCCCCAACAGCCATCACCCTGCAGCATGACCTTCTGGCGAATACTCTCATAACTCAGGCAGCTCACAGGATTGCCAGTGTGTTTTGCACAATAGAGCATGTCTTTGGGTGTGCTGCTGTTCAGGGAATGCATCCGGCCAAAGTGCATGGTATGGCAAGGAGAGTGGTGGAGCAAGACACTGTCCCGGTGAACAACTCAATCCTCTGGTCATGACTCTGCTGCGCTCCAGGCAGCACCAACAGCCATTACGCTGCATCATGACCTTCTGGCCAGTACTCTCACAGTTTGGGCATTTCTAAGGTGCACCACAGCCCATCTGCCTTTGTTGGTAATGAGCTGTAACTGGTGGAGCAGGATCAGAGACAGACTGGGTGGGAAAAGGACGTGCTGTGTCCTTGGGCAACAGCACCTTCAAGCATCCAGAAGGGCACTGCATAGGTAAGAGAACATATGCGTCTTCTTGCGAAGAGGATCCAAATGGGGTCAATGCATATCCAATGGACTGATGTCCCTGGCATGCACAGGACCCTTTCTGTCCCCTTCAGACTCATCATGCCCCTACTGATGCGTTCCTGCCATGAAAAATACTTGCACCTCTTATTTTTGTACTGGAAATGAGCTTCTGTTTCCAAATGGTGAGTCCAGAAATGAGGAAATTAAATGACAGGAAACCAAAGCACAACCTGTGCCATTAGCTAAGATTCTTTGCATTTGAGGTGAGTATGCGGGAAAAATACGGCCTGAGTGATTGATGGGCCTGGGATGGTGAGGAGAGGTATAAAACATGGCCCATCTCCTCACTCTTCCATCCACTCCTCTTCCCTCCATCTCTCTGGGATTAAGGTGAGTCTCAAGATCTTTCTTTTCCTCTTCATCCCTGGGGATTTCACTGAACATGCCTGCACCTTCATAATCTGTTGGGTATTTGGGTCTCTAGTTCTGGGAGAGGGAAAGGCTCAGCAGGTGTGGAATGAAGAGAAGCTCGATCTCAGTTGAGGTGTATCTGAAGCTATGGGCTAGATGGAGAGCTTTGTCAAACTGGATATTATTGCCAAGGACATTGGGGCCAAAGGGAAGGAGAAGGCTAAGGGCCTCCTTTCACAGCTGCCAGGCCCCAAAACAGCATGTGCCATGGCTTTCCTGGGGTGGACTGGCAGGATTATCCTCTCTCACACCCATGCTTCTCCAGGCCCTCTCTCTCACCAGGTGCATCTCTAGCCTGGAAACATGTCCTGCTACAACCAGTGCCTGCCGTGCCTGCCATGCGGACCCTGTGGCCCAACCCCACTGGCCAACAGCTGCAATGAGCCCTGTGTCCAGCAGTGCCAGGACTCCACTGTCGTCATCCAGCCCTCTCCCGTGGTGGTGACCCTGCCCGGCCCCATCCTCAGCTCCTTCCCGCAGAACACCGCCGTGGGATCTTCCACCTCTGCTGCCATTGGCAGCATCCTCAGCTCTCAGGGAGTGCCCATCTCCTCCGGGGGCTTTGGTCTCTCCGGCCTTGGCAGCGGCTACTGCGGCAGGAGGTGCTTCCCGTGCTAAAGCTGCTGGTGATGGCAGAGAAAGACTCCCAAGGACCCAAACATTGGTGGTGGACTGGGCACAGACCATTGGCTTCTTGTGTTCAAAGGGCCAAACCACCCCACCATCCCTTTTATAAAGGATGGGTCCATCCTGGGCTCTCAGAAAGCACAGCCCATTTCTGCCTTTCCTCTCCTCCACTCTCCCACTCTCTCCTTTCCCACCTGTGTCCTTGTTGCTCAATGCTGCTCTGAGTCTGACAACATCATCCTAGGGGGGACCTTCTGTCCCTTCTCCCTCAGTGGAATGGGCAGATGGTGGGATGCCCACCATGGCCACACAGATAATGTTCTCGTCTGCCCCTTGTGCTTCCTGCATTGGGGCCTCCCCCCCATCAACTTTGTTTCCCACTTTTGACTCATTAAAGTTCTACTGCATCCCAGCTTGTGCCTCTTTATCATCCTTTTCCCTGAAGACCGTCTCCCAGAGTTCCCTGCGAAAGAGATGTTGCTCAGTGGTGGGTCTCTGGGGGGGGTTGTTGGCAGTTGTGCTGAGCAATACTTAATAGAGGCCTGCTATGTGTAGGCTTCATAATGCACCATTTTACCTTCTAGTTTCTAAATGTATCCGTTTAGGGATGGTGTCCTGGTTTTAGCTGATAAAGAGCTAATTTTCTTTGTAGTAGCTGCTGTGTGCCATGTTTTGGATTTAGGAGACAAATAATGTTGATAACACCCTGATGATTTAGTTTTTGCAGGACAGTTATTATACTGAGTCAAAGACTTTTCATCCTCTCATACTCTCGCATATTCTCACATACTCTCATATTCTCACAGAATCATAGAATATCTGAGTTGGAAGGGATCCGCAAGGATCATCCAGTCCAATTCTAGGTCCCCAGGGGACCACCAAAATAAATAAATAAATAAAATAAAATCAGATCATGTGTCTAAGAGCGTTGTCCAAATGCTTCCTGAACTCTGCCTGTCTCGGTGCCATGACCACTTCCCTGGGGAGCCTGTTCCATTGTCAGACCAATTTTTTGGTGAAGAACTTTTTCTTGATATCCATCCTGAACTTCCCTTGTTGCAACTTCAAGCCATTCCCTTGGGCCCTATAGCTGGTCACCAGAAAGAAGAGATCAGTACCTGCCTCTCCACTCCGCCTCACAATGAAGCTGTAGACTGCAATGAGGTCTCCCCTCAGCCTGCTCTTCCACTCATTATGTCTTCCCTTCTAGACCCTTTACCTAATTTGTTGTCCTCCTTTGGACACTCTCTAACACCTTTATGCCTTTCTTATATTGTGGTGCCCAAAACTGCACACAGTACTCCAGGTGACACCACACCAGCATAGGGTAGAGCAAGACAATCACTTTCCTTGACCACCCTGTGATACAGTCGGCCCTCCTGGCTGCCAAGGCACACTGCTGGCTAACATTCAGCTTGTTGTCAATCAAAACCCCCAAATTGTTTCCTGTGATGCTGCTCTCCAGCATCTCATCCCACACTCTGAACTTATAACCAGGGTTGCTTCTTCCCGGGTGCAGGATCCAGCACTTGCTCTTTTTGGTGGTTCATGCTGTTGGTGATTGTCCAGTTCTCTAATTTGTCCAGATTTCTCTGCAAGGCCTCACCACCCTTGACAGGGTCAACATCTCCAGCCAATTTGGTATTATCCACAAACTTGCTCAAAAAACCTTCAACTCCTTCATCCATATTGCTTATGAAAACATTGAAGAGGGCTGGTCCTAAAATGGAGCCCTGGGGAACCCCACTGGTGGCAGGTCGCCAGCCTGATGTAACTCCATTTACAAGAGCCCTCTTGGCCTGACCCATCAGACAATTGTTCACCCATGTTATTAACCGTTTATCTTACTGTATTCTGGTCATTACATCGACTGGCTTCCCTTGGTCAACTAGCTGAGTGATTTTGTCATAGAAGGAAATTAAGTTTGTTAGACATGACCTTCCCCTAGTGAACCTGTGTCAGCTCTAACCAATAACTGTGTTGTCCTTTAGACATTTTTCAGTAACTCCCAGACTAATCATCTCCATACTTTTACCAGGCCTGAAGTGAGACTGACAGGCCTTTAATTGCCAGGATCTTCTTTCTTGCCCTTCTTGAAAAGGGTGGGGATGTAGAAGAAGCTGAGAGGAGCTACAGCCAGAACAGTTGACCCAAACTGGCCAAAGAGATGTTTCATACTATATGATGTCATGATGGACAATAAAAACTGTGTGGGTTGGCTGGCTGGGGGGGACACAATTGCTCAGGGACTGGCTGGGCATTGGATGGTAGGTGGTGAAAAATTATAAATCACTTCTTTTATACACTTATATATATAGTTATCATTATTATTATCTTTATTTTCCCTTCCATTTCTATCCTATTAAACTCTATTTATCTCAACCCATGAGTTTTTATTTGTTTTCCTTCTGATTCTCTCCCCCATCCTACTTGGCAGGGTAGGAAGTGAGTGAATGACTCATTGGTGTTTAGCATTCTGCCAGTTTAAACTGCAACAGGAGAGCAAAGATAATGACAGGTTAAGCGCAGATAATGACAGATCTGACCAAACTGTGTTAAAACAGTATTTGTTATAAACATGATATTAGTTTAATAGTTGGTGGTTACAATGTTGATTTTTTTGTTTGTTTTTCACAATGTTGATTTATGTGCTTCCAAGGTTATTAATTCCTTTCTTTTTGTTTATTATCTCTGGTCCTGGCCTAAGTTTGTTTATGGTTCTGCCAGTTTGTATATAGCATGTGCTCATAGCACACTGACTGTGAATTTAATCCAGGAGTTGTACTCAGTATGGCCATCAGTTTAGTACTTCAGAAGCCTGACTGTAGAAACTATTAACAAGCATACCCTTTACTCCAGGTGAGTTAAAATGTTTTTTGAAAATTTTGAATATTCTGGGCATGTTCAATCTAGCAGGATCCTATTGCTATGTCTCCTACACGTGTTTCCACATGTCTGTAGCTAGACAACTATTTAAAAATTCCCACCCAGAGATCTGCCCTGAGGCAGGATGGTTATGAGTGGCAAGGTATGTGGGAGGATATGGGAAGGTATTTATCACGATTGTCACCTCCAGTGGTTTTGGAATTCACCCCTGAACAAATTCGGCATCCTAAAAAGCTGATAAAATGTTTTAAAATGGTATGCCCCCATCCTGGAAATGCCAGAGATTTACAGCTTGCTGCACTGTGCGGGGGTCTGGCCTGTGCCTATCAAACAATATCCAATACTATTCAGAACCTTCAAAGGGAAGAAAATCTCTCTGGATCTGATCCAGTCCCTGCAGCAGTCTCTGCAGCTACTCCAACTGCCACTCCAACCCTCGTGACAGACCCTGCAGCTGAACAAGAGAATCAAACTGTGCTGGCATCAGTCACCTCTATATGTAAGACAAAGCAATGTATGCAAAAGTCAGCTCATTTAGTAAGGAAAGAAACTCCTACTCAAAAGGGAAGGAGGAAGAAGAAGATGAGGCAGGCTTCTCCAAAGCAGGACCATCACAGGAACAGGAAGAGGAAAATGTCGTAAAAGCACCAGTAACCACCAGATCTCTATCCCTGGGTGATCTGTAAAATATGCAAAAAGACTTCAGTCATCATCCAGGTGAGCACATTGCCAGCTGGCTGCTCCAATGCTGGGATACTGGGGCCAGTAGCCTGGAATTGGAGGACAGGAAAGCCAAGCAGCTAGGCTCCCTCTCTAGGGAAAGGAAAATTTACAAAGTGATTAGAAAGGGGGCATGATCCTTCAGTCTCTGAAGGCTACTCCTGTCAGGCATGAGGGAAAGAGATTCCTTCAAGGAAGATGCTGTATGTCACTGTGGTGATTTTAGCCTGCTGGACAGCTAAACACCACAACTGCTTTCTCATTCCCCCTCCTCAAAGGAAAAGAGGGAGAAAATATGATGGAAAGGGCTCAAGGGTTAAAATGAGGACAGAGAGATCACTCACCAAGTCTCGTCATGGGCAAAACAGACTCATCAGAGTAGGCAGATTAAAGTAATTTACTACCTATCACTAGCAGAGTAGAACAGTGAGAAACCAAAAACAAATTAAAAACACCTTCCCCACCCACCCACCCTCTTCTACATCCTTCCCTCAAGCAGTGCATGGGAATGGGGAATGGAGGCTCTGGTCAGTCCATAACACTTCGTCTCTGCCTCTCTTTCAAGGTGACTCTGCCCCTGCTCCAGCATAGGGTCCCCCCCCATAGGATGCCATCCTTGCCAGACTGATCCTGCATGGGCTGCCTACAGGCAGCAGCTCTACAAGAACTGCTGCATATATGGCTCTGTACCAAGGGGTCCATCTATCACAAGCAAACTGCTTCAACCTGTGTCCCCCACAGGCAGCGGCTCCCCCCAGATCCCCTGCTCCTGCATGGGCTTCTGTCCAGGGGTTTCAGCTCCAGACTGGGGCCTGCTCCTACAGGGGTTCTCTATGGGCCACAGCCTCCTTCAGGCCATATCCACCTGCTCCACTGTGGGCTGCAGTGTGGAGATGTGCTCCACAGGGACTTCAGAATATCACCAGAAGAGGAAGTGATGCACGCTGAAGAGGCCCCTCTGTATAATAAACTACCAGAAAATGAGAAGCAATATGCTCTGTTCACCGATGGGTCCTGTTGAATTGTTGAAAAGCATTGGAGGTGGAAGTCTGCTTTATGGAGTCCTATACAGCAAGTTGCAGAAACTGCTGAAGGGCCTTGAAAAGCAAGTCTAATGGTGACATGGCACCCCAGAAAGAAATAAGTTGGACAACAGGATTCATTTCTGAAACGACCTCACAGACACCTGGGCCAAAGAGCATGGCATTGATTGGGTGTATCACATCCCCTCTCATGCACCAGCCTCTAGGAAAATCAAATGATACAATGGACTGTTAAAGACTTCACTAAGAGCAATAGGTGCTGGGACATTCCAACATCGGGATGTCCCACACTTAACAAAGGCCTCCTGGTTAGTCAACACTAGGCAATCTGCCAACCAAGCTGGCCCTGCCCGATCAAAACTGTTACATACTGAAGGAGATAAAGTCCCCATAAATAACATGCTGGAGAAGACAGTCTGAGTTATTCCTGCCACAGGCAAATGGAAATCCAACCATGGGATTGCTTCTGCTCAAGGCTCTGGGTGCATTTGGTGAGTAAAGTGGAAGGATGTGGAAGTCCAACGCATACCCTCAAACGGATTTAATTTGGGGTGAGAATAGCCAATTATTTGAATTGTATTATTTTAATTTTTATAGTATTGTATAGTATTATATGCTGTAGGACATTGCTACTATAGTCACTATAAGTCACATCAATGGTATTACAGGAAGAGTCATCCAGAAGAATGAATGTTGATGGAAACAAATGAAGTACATCAGTGATAGAACCAGACAAGCACAGCAGTGATGAAACCAGAGCAGGCCTCTGCATACATCCCCATACACTATCTCTTCTGCCCCAAAAGACACTTACGAAAGATAGAGCCCAAAGTCATGAACTACATAAAAACAGACAATTTAGAAGGATGGTCCATAGGCTATGGGAGTAATATCAGTGTGTAAATATCAAAAGACAAGAGAGGTGGAAATTACATAGGATGTAATAGAAAGCACAGGACCTGAGAGTGATGTAAATGGTATGAAATAAGGGGTGGATATTGTCCTGGTTTTGGCTGGGATAGAGTTAATTTTCTTCGTAGAGGCACTTACATGCCACATATTGGCTTTGGGAAAAAAATAATACCAATAACACAATTATATTTTCAATGCAAGCACATGGTCTCGTCTCTTTAGCCATGCACTGGTACACCGTTGAGCCTGGTTCTGTCTTCTTCAGGACCTCAGGGTAGCTACTCCAAAGGTGCTCTTCGGTCTCCAAACAAAACCTGATCTTCCACACACTAAGGAAAGCCTGTACCCCCAGATTCTCCTCATTACCCAATTGCTGTGGCTACCTGACAATCCTGGACAACATCAGCAAAACTCATTCTACTTGAACAATGTATTTCTTGAAACAGAGCCCAAAACTGGACGCAGTGCTTCAGCTGCATTTGGAGGAGTGCTGAGCAGAGTGGGATTGTCACCTCCCTTCACCTCCTGGCTAAGCTTCTGCTCATACAGCCCAGGATGTCCTTGGTGTCCTCGATGTCTCAGAACACTGCTGGGAGTCACTTCTCTTTGTATGGGATTACCACCCAAGTAACTTTTTCTGGGCCAGCTTTTAACCTGCTGCCATCGAAAGGCTGCAAGATAGGCGATGTGGCATGAGGGCGGGCTGGCAGGAAGGCATTTGCCAAACTGGGCTTTGGGTGCTGTGTTGAGGAGCTCATGGATGGACCTTGGAGACACTCTTCTCTTCCCCTCAGTCTCTCCCTACCTCCCTCTTCCCCACAAGCTGTTCCAGGAAGCTCTGGGAACAGATGGAAAGAGTAAGAGATGGAGGACATGCACTCCTTGTGAGCCTGTGTGGTGGGCAGACCCCAGCAAACATTTAAGCACCCACCAACTACTCGCTCACACTACAGCCGCAGCAGGGTAGGGGAGACAGCTGGAAGACCAAGAGTGAGAAAAACTCCTGGGTCAACATAAGGATAGCTGCTGCCCTCCCGGGGCCTCCTGCAGCTCTGGCTCCTCACTGGAGGCCAGCAGTGGCCACATGCCACCTTCAGCAGGCTGTGCACTGAGGCCGAGATGGCACGCCAGGACAGAGAGGCAGCAAAGCTGGGCCTGATGGCCAGGGCCCTGCAGGGCTCATGGGCACCTCCCTCATCTGTGGGTGACAGTGCTTTCCCAAGAGGCCCTACTGCACACAGCCTCACCCTTGGGAAATGTGAATGGTCCCCATGTGTCCCACATGCCCCCCTGACATCCCCAGAGAAACAGCACTGGTCCTGACAGCTGGTGTCTGGAGTGTCTGCAGGAGAAGGACAACTCAGAGGCGCAGGCTGAGATGCAGCAGAACTTTAATATTAGGGTCAAAAGAGGGAAAAGAGGTTGCTCCAAGAGGAAGCCCTAGTTCAGGAAGCACCAGGAGCAGATGAGAGCGTGCACCATGGCTGACCCCATCCTTCCTATAAGGGGTGTTGGGGTTGTTTGGTCCCTCTGAACAAAAGAAGCCAATGCTCTGTGCCCACTCTGCTCTGAATTTCTGTGGTCCTTTAGCAGGGGAAGCACCTCCTGCCGCAGTAGCCGCTGCCCAAGCCGGAGAGGCCAAAGCCCCCGGAGGAGATGGGCACTCCCTGAGAGCTGAGGATGCTGCCAACAGCAGCGGAGGTGGAGGATCCCACGGCGGTGTTCTGCGGGAAGGAGCTGAGGATGGGGCCGGGCAGGGTCACCACCACGGGAGAGGGCTGGATGAAGACGTTGGAGTCCTGGCACTGCTGGACACAGGGCTCATTGCAGCTGTTGGCCAGTGGGGTTGGGCCACAGGGTCCGCATGGCAGGCACGGCAGGCACTGGTTGTAGCAGGACATGTCTCGGGGCAGGACGTGCACCTGATGGGAGGGAGGGCGCAAAGGGGCACAAGGGTGAGAGAGGAGCAGTCTGCCAGCACACCACTGGACAGCAGCAGCACATGCGGTTTGGGGAGCTGGCAGCTGTGAAAGGAGGCCCACAGCCTTCTCCTTCCCCTGGGCACCAATGTCCTTGAACAGAATATCCCAGCCCAGGAAGCTCCCTACTTAGCCCATAGCTTCAGATACACCTCAGCCAGGACCCAGCTTCACTCCACACACTACTTCACTCCACACTTCACATCTACTGTTCCCTTCCCTCTCCCATTTCTAGCTTTCCCAAGACCCAAGAGAAGATGAAGAGGCAGGCATGTGCTAAGAAATTCCCCAGGACGAAGTCGAGGAGAAAGGGCTTCAGACTCACCTTGATCCCAAGGAGATGGAGGTAACAGGAGTGGATGAGGGAGTGAGGAAATGGGGCTGCTTTTATACCTCTCCTGCACTGCCCCAGGCCCACAGTCACTCTATGCGGGCCGTAATTTTCTAGCAGACTCACCTCAAATGCAAAATATCTTAGCTAATGGCACAGGTTGTGCTTTGGTTTCTGTCAACTCTGCCATTTCATTTCCTCATTTCTGACCTGACCATTTGGCCACAAAGGCTCCTTTCAAGTACAAGGATAACAGGTCAAGCATTTCCCCTGGCAGGAACACATCAGTAGGGACAGTATATTAGTCCTAAGTTCTGGAGAGCATGGTACCTGTCTCTGTGGAAGTGCATTCACCTCTTAGATAGAAAGCGCACATATCCTCCTCTCTTTGGTGTGCCCTTCTAAATGCCCAAAGGCTCCTTCACCAAGGGACAAGGAGCATCCTTCTCCTGCTGGCCTGGCTCCCAGCCTACTCCAACAGTCACAGCTCATTGCCTGCATAGGCAGATGGCCTGTACTGCAGCTTTGAAATGCCCAAGTTGTGAGAGTACTCGCCAAAAGGTCATGCTGCAGGGTAATGGCTGTTGGGGCTGCCTGGAGGGTGGCACAGCTTGAGCTTGGACCTCAGACAGAGCTGCTTGGATGGATGGCGATTTGGTATGCATGGTGCTCAGGCCTGCAGACAGCAGGCACTCTGGCTTGGCCTCATGCCAAAAGTGTGGCACGTGGCCAATCCCAAATTGGAGCATGACTCGTCCTGGGCAGGGAGAGTCTCTCCCAGGAAGTTTGCCTGCTGAAGGCATTCCCTTGCCCTCCTGGGGTGTGTCCTAGCTGCCTCCCATGTCTGCAGGGCAGGGAAGTGCTTTGATCATGCAGCAGGGATGCATTGCCTCCTTGATGGAGTCTGGGAGGTGTTTCTGTAGCCAGGGCCCTTGTGAGCAAGTCCCCTCCCTGAGCATGCCCAGCCGCGTGGCAGTGCCAGCTCCTGCCAGCCCTTGCTGGCAGCAGTAGGGCAGACCTACTCAGAGGAGGTCCAGGGGACGCAGGATCAGAGGGTAGTTCAGTCCCCAGTCTGCAGTGCCGCAAGAGTTTGTTCCCCATCCTGTGCAGGACCTTGCCTTTTGTCCTTCTAGATTGCCTTGAGGTTCCTGAGGGCCCATTCCCGCAGGCTGTCTAGGTCTCCCCTTGTGGCAGCCCTGCACCAGAGTGCACCAGCTGGCCCCCAGTTGCTGTCTCCTCCCAAGTTAGTGGAAGTGGTAATGGCATCAAGGCAGACAGCTGAAAGCATTGGCAAAGTCTGGATGCGCGGGGAGGCAAAGACCAGTGACCATTGGATGGAGCCACAAAGGAGGGAGGAGAGAGAAGCTTGTGGCGCATCCTTAAGGAATAGGAGCCTCTGCTGAGGTCTGCAGCTCCAGGAGGAGCGGGGCCTCTTCCTGCAAAACACATCACCGGCCATTCCCTGAAGTGCACAAAAGCATGTCCTGTCCTCCGCCTGAATGCAACCACTCTCTTGCACTTTTCTGCCCATACTGATATGATCCTGCTGGGGTATTCCTTTGAACTCTGATACCAGAAAGTAGCCTGTATGGTACAATAGGCATGTCAGAAATGAGGAAATGAAATGGTAGAGCTGATGGAAACCAAAATACAACCTGTGGCATTAGCTAAAATATTTTGCATTTAAGGAGTGTCTACTGGAAAATTATGGCTTCCGTAGAGTGACTGTGGGCCTGGGGCAGTGCAGAGAGGTATAAAAGTGGCCCAGTCTCCTCACACTCTTCATCCACTGCTCTTGCCTCCATCTCCCTGGGAACGAGGTGAGTCTGAAGGCCTTTCTTCTCCTCTTCTTCCCTGGGGATTTCTTAAACATGCCTGCCTCTTCATATTCTCCTGGATCTTGGGAGTGCTAGTCATGGGAGAGGGAAAAGAGCAGCATACGTGTCATGGAGAGAACCTGCAGCTTGGCTGAATTTCTCCGTGGCTATGGGCTAGGTGGGGAGCTTCGTCAGACTGGACAGTCCTGGCCGAGCTCTTGTGTCCAAAGTTAAGCCCATGGGGCTCCTTACACAGCTGACAGGTCACAAAACAGAACGTACCATGGCTTTCCTGCGGTGGTCTGGCACATTTCTCCTCTCTCATAGAAGTTCTCCTCTGGGCCCTCTCTCTTACCAGGTACACCTCCTGCCCTGAGACATGTCCTGCTACAACCAGTGCCTGCCATGCCTGCCATGCGGACCCTGTGGCCCAACTCCGCTGGCCAACAGCTGCAATGAGCCCTGTGTCAGGCAGTGCCAGGACTCCAACGTCTTCATCCAGCCCTCTCCTGTGGTGGTGACCCTGCCCGGCCCCATCCTCAGCTCCTTCCCGCAGAACACCGCCGTGGGATCCTCCACCTCTGCTGCTGTTGGCAGCATCCTCAGCTCTCAGGGAGTGCCCATCTCCTCCGGGGGCTTTGGCCTCTCCGGCTTGGGCAGCGGCTACTGCGGCAGGAGGTGCTTCCCCTGCTAAAGCTGCTGGTGATGGCCCGGGAGAAAGACGCCCAGGGACCCAGAAGTTGGTAGCGGACAGAGCATTGGCTTCTTGCATTGAGGTGCCAAACACTCCCAGCACCATTGCAAATGGATGGGGCCAGCCTGGCCTCTTGGAAAGCACAGCCCATGTCTGCCTTTCCTCACCTTCACTCTCTCCTTTCCCACCTGTGTCCTTGTTGCTCACTGCAGCTCCACTGCGCTCAAAGTCCGACAGTGACATCCTAGTGTGGACCTTCTGTCCCTTCTCCCTCAGTGGAATGGGCAGATGGACAGGTGGTGGGATGCCCTCCATGGCCACACAGTGCACGCTCTCGTCTGCCCCTGGAGCTTTCTGCACTGGGGCATCCTCTTGGTGTGACCTCGGTTCCCTCTTTTGACTCTAATATTAAAGTTCTTCTGCATCCCAGCCTGTGCCTCTGAGTTGTCTTTCCCCTGCAGCAGCTTTTCCAGGATGCCTGGGGAGAGAGGTGTTGCTCACGGGTAGTTCTGGGAGTGGGTGGTTGCTGATGATCATGCTTTGCGATCATTAACACAGGCTTGCATTCAGAATGCTTCTTCATGTATCAGGTCACCCTCTGGATTCTAAATATGTGGTTACATAGAGGTGGATGGAATTATCCAACATAGCTGATTGGCTTCTATGCATTTTGGTGTGCACACTGTTTCTTCTCTTCCTTGACAAGGTGGAGGGCATAGCTGCCCAAGAGAAGACAGGAAATCCCTTCCTAACAAAAACACTGCAGAACTTGCTGTGCTTGGTCAGTCTTTCTTGCTACACAGCCCCAAACTGGGCACAGTGTTCCAGATGCGTTTGGAGGAGTGCCGAGCAGAGTGGGATTGTCACTGCCCTCAATGACACCAAGCTGAGTGGTGCAGCTGATAGAAAAGAAGGAAGAGATGCCATTCAAAGGGACCTCCTCAGGCTGGCGAAGTGGGCCTGTGTTAACCGCATGAGGTTCAACAAGTCCAACTGCAAGGTGCTGCACCTGGCTCAGGGCAATCCCAGACAGGAGTACAGACAGGGAGAAGAACTCATCGAGAGCAGCCCTGCCAGAGAAGGACTTGGGGGTTGTGGTGGACAAAATTCTTGACACGAGCCAGCCATGTGCGCTTTCAGCCCACAAGGCCAACTGCATGCTGGTCTGCATCAAAAGAGGTGTGACCAGCAGGTCGAGGGAGGTGATTGTCCCCCTCTACTCTGCCCTCACGAGTACTCAGAGTACTGCATCCCCATCTGGGGACCCCTGGCACAAGAAAGATGTGGGCCTGTTAGAGCAAGTCCAGGGTAGGGTGAAAAAAGATCGGACGGCTGGAGCACCTCTCCTCTGAAGAAAGGCTTGAGAGAGCTCAAGAAGTTCAGCCTGGAGAAGGGAAGGCTCTGCGGAAACCTCATTGTAACCTTTTAGTACTTAAAGAGGTCTCAAAAAAAAAATATATAAAAAAAAAGATTGCGAAGGACTCTTAACTTGGGTAGAGAATGATAGGGCAAGGGGGATTGGTCTTAAACTAAAAGAGGACAGATTTAGACTAGACCTTAAGAGGAAATCTTCACTGTAAGGGTAGTGAGGCACTGGAACAGGTTGCCAAGAGAAGCTGTGGATGCCCCATCCCTGGAGGTGTTCAAGGCCATTCTGGATGGGGCCTTGGCCAATCTGATACAGCAAGTGGCATCCCTGTCTGTGGCAGGGGGCTTAGACTTAGATGATCTTTAAGGTCTCTTCCAACCCGAGTCCATGATTCTATAATTCTATGCTTCCATGATTCTATAATTCTATGATTCTTGAGCTCCTGACTATGCTTCTGCTCATACAGCCCAGGATGTCATTGGTGTCTTCGGTGTCTCGGAGCACTGCTGGGAGTCACTTCTCTTTGGGTGGGTTTACCACCCAAGTAACTTTTCCTGGACCAGCTTTTGGTCTGCAACCATAGAGGGGCTTTAAGATAGATGACGTGGCATGAGGGCAGGCTGGCAGGAAGTCATCTGCCAGACTGGGCTCTGGGTGACTGCGGTGATGCTTTGGAGAGCTCATGGATGGCCCTTAGAGACACTCAGAAAGCACCCGCTGTCTCTCCTCCTGCCCTCAGTCTTTCCCTGCCTCCCTCTTCCCCACAAAGTTTTGCAGACAGCCCAGGGAACAGATGGAAGGAGTAGGGGGAGGACTCTGTGGTGGGTTGACCCCGGCAAGCATCTACGCACCCACCAACGCACTCGCTCATACCGCAGCCACAGCAGGACAGGGGAGACAGCTGGAAGTCAAAGAGACAGAAAAACTCCCCGGTTTATATAAAGACATTTTAAGGAGGGAATGGGAAACGAGAGAAAAAGCAAGTGATGCCAAGGCTGTGCCTCATCACCTCCCACCAGAAGACCAATGTCCAGCAAGTGTCTGCAGGATGGCTACTTAGGGAGAACTGTCCCGCTGTTTTGTTGCCGGGCGTGATGCTCTATCGTATGCAATATCCCTTTGGTCGATTGGGGTCAGCAGTCCTAACTGTGTCCCCTCCTGAAAACTTCCCCGCCCCTAGCCTGCTCTGTGAGGGTGCAGAGGGGGAAACATAGAAGGCCTTGACCCTGAGCTCAATCGTTGGAGTGTCACCTCCGCTGTTTTAGCCACACAATCAGAACACAGCACCATACTGCCTATGGTGAAGGCAATTGCCTCCATCACAGCCAGAGCCAGTACAGCCTGCTTCCCCCACTCCCTCTCCTGGTCTGCTCCCGGGCCATTTTCTGCACGAGCCTCCCCGCCCAGCACAGCTGCCCCCAGAGCAGAAGGAATTGCCGCCCCTCCTCTTGCCTCTCTCCCTCTCCCCTGCTGCCCCCTTCCCAGGAACCTGTGTGGCTGCTGCCCTCCCGGGGCCACCTGCAGCTCTGGCTCCTCACTGGAGGCCAGCAGTGGCCACATGCCACCTTCAGCAGGCTGTGCACTGAGGCCAATATGGCACGCCAGGACAGAGAGGCAGCAAAGCTGGGCCTGATGGCCAGAGGCCCTGCAGAACTCATGGGCACCTCCCTCACGTGTGAGTGACAGTGCTTTCCAAGGGGCCCTACTGCACACGGCCTCACCCTTGGAAACGTGAATGGTCCCCATGTGTCCCACATGCCCCCTGACTGTCCCCAGATGGTGTCTCGCAGCTGGTGTCTGGAGTGTCTGCAGGGGAAGGACGACTCAGAGGTGCGGGCTGGGATGCAGCAGAACTTTAATATTAGAGTCAAAAGAGGGAAACGAGGTCACACCAAGAGGGTGCCCCAGTGTAGGAAGCACCAGGGGCAGACGAGAGCACGCGCTGTGTGGCCACGGAGAGCATCCCGCCACCTGTCCATCTGCCCACTCCACTGAGGGAAAAGGGACAGAAGGCCCACACTAGGCTGATGTGGTGGGACTCAGAGCTCAGTGGAGCTGCAGTGAGTAACAAGGACACAGGTGGGAAAGGAGAGAATGGAGGAGGAGTAAGGCAGACATGGGCCGTGCTCTCCAAGAGTCCCATGCTCTTCCAAGGGGTGTTGGGGAGGTTTGGCCACCCTGAACACAAGAAGCCTACGCTCTGTGCCCAGTCCGCTACCAACGTCTGGGTCCCTGGGCGTCTTTCTCCCGGGCCATCACCAGCAGCTTTAGCAGGGGAAGCACCTCCTGCCGCAGTAGCCGCTGCCCAAGCCGGAGAGGCCAAAGCCCCCGGAGGAGATGGGCACTCCCTGAGAGCTGAGGATGCTGCCAACAGCAGCGGAGGTGGAGGATCCCACGGCGGTGTTCTGCGGGAAGGAGCTGAGGATGGGGCCGGGCAGGGTCACCACCACGGGAGAGGGCTGGATGAAGACGTTGGAGTCCTGGCACTGCCTGACACAGGGCTCATTGCAGCTGTTGGCCAGCGGAGTTGGGCCACAGGGTCCGCATGGCAGGCACTGGTTGTAGCAGGACATGTCTCGGGGCAGGAGGTGTACCTGGTAAGAGAGAGGACTCAGAGGAGAACAGTGGTGACAGAGGACCAGTCTGCCAGTCCAACCTAGAACAGCCATGGGACGTGCTTTCTGGGGAGCTAGCAACAGTGTAAGAAGGCCCACAGCCTTCTCCTTCCCTTTTTTCCCAGCAGCCTTGCAAGAACGTCCAGGCCAAAGCAGATCCCAACCAAGCCCTTATCTCGGGATTTATGTCAGCCAAGCCACAGCTTCACTTCATGACACACCTCCTGTCCCCTTCCCTCGCCCATGACTAGCAACCCCAAGACCCAACAGAGGAGGAAGGTGCAGACATGTAATGAGAAATCCCCAGGGAAGAAGAGGAGAAGTAAGGCCTTCAGACTCACCTCGTTCCCTGGGTGATGGAGGCGAGAGCAGTGGATGAAGAGAGTGAGGAGATGGGGCCTCTTTTATACCTCTCCTGCACTGCCCCAGGCCCACAGTCACTCTACGCAGGCCGTAATTTTCTGGCAGACTCACCTGAAATGCAAAATAGCCTTCCTAATGGCACAGGTTGTGCTTTGGTTTCTGTCAGTTCTGCCATTTCATTTCCTCATTTCTGATTTGCCCATTTGGCATCAGAATCTCCTTTTAAGTAACAACATGAGAGGTCAAGCATTTCCCTGAGCGGGAACACGTCAGTAGGGGCAGCAGATGTGTACTAACTGCTAGAGTGTTTATTGGGTTTACATGGCAAGTTTCTGCAGAGGTGGCCTCTGTGAGAAGTGTCTGGAAGCTGCCCATGAGCTCCCATGAGCTGTCCCCTGAACCCCTCTGAGGAGGTCTGACCTCAGAATACAGGCAGACATGGACTGTGGGAGGCAAGGGATACACAATCTTCACCGTGTTGATCAAAGATATGGGGCTATGTGAAGTATCTATCCTAATCACTTTTTCGAGGGGAACAAAGGTTACAGAAAAACATCTTTTGCCTGGCTGGGACTTGTCTCTGGGTTCCAGGCAGTATGTCCTAGCATGAGAGCTTCAGCACACATCTGCCATGTCCCAAAGCCCTCCTCAGGCAACAGAACAAGCCAGCACCACTGGGGGGACAAGGAAGCACCCCTTCAACAAACTATGGCTGGCAGGAACAGGCACTGCTATGGGGCTGGGCATGCTCAGGGAGGTGACTTGCTCACAAGGGCCCTGGCTGCAGAAACACCTTCCAGACTCCATCAAGGAGGCAATGCATCCCTGCTGCATGAACAAAGCACTTCCCTGCCCTGCAGACATGGGAGGCAGCTGGGACACACCCCAGGAAAGCAAGGGAATGCCTTCAGCAGGCAAACTTCCTGGGACAGACTCTCCCTGCCCAGGACGAGTCATGCTCTAATTTGGGATTGGCCACGTGCCACACTTTTGGCATGAGGCCAAGCCAGAGTGCCTGCTGTCTGCAGGCCTGAGCACCACGCATGCCAAATCCCCCTCTCGCCAGGCAGCTCCGTCTGAGCCTGAACTCGAGCTGTGCCACCCTCCAGGCAGCCCCAAAAGCCTTTGCTCTGCAGCATGACCTTCTGACCAGAACTCTCATACCTCAGGCAGCTCACATTATGCTCAGCATCTTTTCCACAAGAAGGCAGGTCTTTGGTTTTACTGCTGGTCACAGAATGTGTCCAGCCAAAGTGCATGGTACGGAAAGGAGAGTGGTGGAGCAAGACACTGTCCCCGTGAACAACTCAAACCTCTGGTAGTGAAGGGACCTGATTCCCCAGGACTTGCTGAGCATCATTGTGCTCAGGAAAGTAACCTTTGCCTTCCTCACAGCAGCTGACCATATGGCTTGCCTGAAGAGCCCAGGAGACAGCCACAAGAGGGAACAAGGCCAAGGATACAGAAAACATGTCATTAAAAATGAGCTGTCTTGTGCCAGTTCATTTCAAAACTGCAGCACAGCCCATCTGCCTATGCAGGCAATGAGCTGTGACTGGTGGAGCAGGCTGGGAGCCAGGCCAAGTTGTAGAAGGATGTGCTGTGTCCTCAGGCGAGGGAGGCTTTGGTCATCCAGGAGGGCTCTGCATAGACAGAAGGATATGCAGGACCCCTCCAGCACTTGGGACTCATCTTCTACCCCTTCTGACCTACTCTATGGTGGTTTTACTCAGCTGGGCAGCTGAGCTGCATCACAACCACTCTCTAATTCCCCTGCCTTAAAGGGAAGGGGGAAGAAATGCGATGAAAAGGCGCTACCAGACGTTGGTAGCGGACTGGGCACAGAGCGTAGGCTTCTTGTGTTCAGGGTGGCCAAACCTCCCCAACACCCCTTGGAAGAGCACGGGACTCTTGGAGAGCACGGCCCATGTCTGCCTTACTCCTCCTCCATTCTCTCCTTTCCCACCTGTGTCCTTGTTACTCACTGCAGCTCCACTGAGCTCTGAGTCCCACCACATCAGCCTAGTGTGGGCCTTCTGTCCCTTTTCCCTCAGTGGAGTGGGCAGATGGACAGGTGGCGGGATGCTCTCCGTGGCCACACAGCGCGTGCTCTCGTCTGCCCCTGGTGCTTCCTACACTGGGGCACCCTCTTGGTGTGACCTCGTTTCCCTCTTTTGACTCTAATATTAAAGTTCTGCTGCATCCCAGCCCGCACCTCTGAGTCGTCCTTCCCCTGCAGACACTCCAGACACCAGCTGCGAGACACCATCTGGGGACGTCAGGGGGCATGTGGGACACATGGGGACCATTCACGTTTCCAAGGGTGAGGCCGTGTGCAGTAGGGCCCCTTGGAAAGCACTGTCACTCACACGTGAGGGAGGTGCCCATGAGTTCTGCAGGGCCTCTGGCCATCAGGCCCAGCTTTGCTGCCTCTCTGTCCTGGCGTGCCATATTGGCCTCAGTGCACAGCCTGCTGAAGGTGGCATGTGGCCACTGCTGGCCTCCAGTGAGGAGCCAGAGCTGCAGGTGGCCCCGGGAGGGCAGCAGCCACACAGGTTCCTGGGAAGGGGGCAGCAGGGGAGAGGGAGAGAGGCAAGAGGAGGGGCGGCAATTCCTTCTGCTCTGGGGGCAGCTGTGCTGGGCGGGGAGGCTCGTGCAGAAAATGGCCCGGGAGCAGACCAGGAGAGGGAGTGGGGGAAGCAGGCTGTACTGGCTCTGGCTGTGATGGAGGCAATTGCCTTCACCATAGGCAGTATGGTGCTGTGTTCTGATTGTGTGGCTAAAACAGCGGAGGTGACACTCCAACGATTGAGCTCAGCGTCAAGGCCTTCTATGTTTCCCCCTCTGCACCCTCACAGAGCAGGCTAGGGGCGGGGAAGTTTTCAGGAGGGGACACAGTTAGGACTGCTGACCCCAATCGACCAAAGGGATATTGCATACGATAGAGCATCACGCCCGGCAACAAAACAGCGGGACAGTTCTCCCTAAGTAGCCATCCTGCAGACACTTGCTGGACATTGGTCTTCTGGTGGGAGGTGATGAGGCACAGCCTTGGCATCACTTGCTTTTTCTCTCGTTTCCCATTCCCTCCTTAAAATGTCTTTATATAAACCGGGGAGTTTTTCTGTCTCTTTGACTTCCAGCTGTCTCCCCTGTCCTGCTGTGGCTGCGGTATGAGCGAGTGCGTTGGTGGGTGCGTAGATGCTTGCCGGGGTCAACCCACCACAGAGTCCTCCCCCTACTCCTTCCATCTGTTCCCTGGGCTGTCTGCAAAACTTTGTGGGGAAGAGGGAGGCAGGGAAAGACTGAGGGCAGGAGGAGAGACAGCGGGTGCTTTCTGAGTGTCTCTAAGGGCCATCCATGAGCTCTCCAAAGCATCACCGCAGTCACCCAGAGCCCAGTCTGGCAGATGACTTCCTGCCAGCCTGCCCTCATGCCACGTCATCTATCTTAAAGCCCCTCTATGGTTGCAGACCAAAAGCTGGTCCAGGAAAAGTTACTTGGGTGGTAAACCCACCCAAAGAGAAGTGACTCCCAGCAGTGCTCCGAGACACCGAAGACACCAATGACATCCTGGGCTGTATGAGCAGAAGCATAGTCAGGAGCTCAAGAATCATAGAATTATAGAATCATGGAAGCATAGAATTATAGAATCATGGACTCGGGTTGGAAGAGACCTTAAAGATCATCTAAGTCTAAGCCCCCTGCCACAGACAGGGATGCCACTTGCTGTATCAGATTGGCCAAGGCCCCATCCAGAATGGCCTTGAACACCTCCAGGGATGGGGCATCCACAGCTTCTCTTGGCAACCTGTTCCAGTGCCTCACTACCCTTACAGTGAAGATTTCCTCTTAAGGTCTAGTCTAAATCTGTCCTCTTTTAGTTTAAGACCAATCCCCCTTGCCCTATCATTCTCTACCCAAGTTAAGAGTCCTTCGCAATCTTTTTTTTTATATATATTTTTTTTTGAGACCTCTTTAAGTACTAAAAGGTTACAATGAGGTTTCCGCAGAGCCTTCCCTTCTCCAGGCTGAACTTCTTGAGCTCTCTCAAGCCTTTCTTCAGAGGAGAGGTGCTCCAGCCGTCCGATCTTTTTTCACCCTACCCTGGACTTGCTCTAACAGGCCCACATCTTTCTTGTGCCAGGGTCCCCAGATGGGGATGCAGTACTCTGAGTACTCGTGAGGGCAGAGTAGAGGGGGACAATCACCTCCCTCGACCTGCTGGTCACACCTCTTTTGATGCAGACCAGCATGCAGTTGGCCTTGTGGGCTGAAAGCGCACATGGCTGGCTCGTGTCAAGAATTTTGTCCACCACAACCCCCAAGTCCTTCTCTGGCAGGGCTGCTCTCGATGAGTTCTTCTCCCTGTCTGTACTCCTGTCTGGGATTGCCCTGAGCCAGGTGCAGCACCTTGCAGTTGGACTTGTTGAACCTCATGCGGTTAACACAGGCCCACTTCGCCAGCCTGAGGAGGTCCCTTTGAATGGCATCTCTTCCTTCTTTTCTATCAGCTGCACCACTCAGCTTGGTGTCATTGAGGGCAGTGACAATCCCACTCTGCTCGGCACTCCTCCAAACGCATCTGGAACACTGTGCCCAGTTTGGGGCTG